GGTCGTTTCGGATGAAGGTAAGCGATCCCGGCTGGCAGCCAAACCCTAATCGGGGGCAACCCACTGGAAAACGCCGCGGGACTCTCTCCCGGCCAGCTCCGTCTGACCCGTTCGCCAAAGCAGCACTCGCTGGGATGTAAGAGGCCCGTATCCTACGGACCGGCCCAGCGAGGGTTCGGCGACTCCGCCCCTTTCGGGGCCCTCCATGTAGCGGCCGCTGCCAGTGCTAGCTGTGAGGCGAGCGTTCCAGCGGCTCCGCGATGAGTCTGTCTATGGAATCGGGTCGATCCCGAACCAGTCTGCAAAGAATTGCCTCCGCGGCGGATCAGCACACCCACGCCCACTTTGCCGACCGGGCAGGATGAACGGGCGACGTGAGGCGTGGAGGCGACACGGGATGGTCGGTGGCGTGTGGCGTCGGGGCAACAAAGCGAGCCGGCGACGTTAGTCGTCGGTGGGAAGCGGGTACCAACGTCACTCCGACGACTCGCGTCGCCGGCTCGCTGCCCGTTTACTGCGGGAATCCCCGTACTGCGGGAATCCCCGCTAATTCCGACACATCTCGGGCGAAGTCCCGCTTGGAGATGTAGCGGGGGAATCGCGACGGGTTGAGCAATCCGCTCAATTGCCCCGAACCAGAGAACCCCCCCGATTTGTCCTCCGTATTGCAAGCACCAGGGCGCAGGTCCGACGTTCGATCGGTCAGTCGTTCCCGGGCTCACGGGAAGAGGCTCCCATGAACACCAAGGCCCCCGCCGAAGAGGTTTTCGCCGTCGATACCTTCGGCCAGTTCCACCCGATCCGCCTCCCGGCCGAGGCATTTGAGACGCTGCACAAAGAGACTCTGGACTCGCTGCGCGAGTTCGTGAAGGGCCACCGTGAGCGATTCCCTAAGGGACCCAAGGCGCGGAAGCCGAAGCCGCGGTGAACGTGGAGGACCGTAGGACGGTAGGTAGGTAGGACAGTAGGCTGTACCTATCTGACCTACTGTCCTAACCACCAACCGTCCTGTCAGCCTCATGCGCGTTCTGCTCGCCAGCCCCCGTGGGTTCTGCGCCGGCGTCAACATGGCGATCGACTCGCTCGAGCTCGCCCTCAAGGCCTTCGGCGCCCCGATCTACGTCTATCACGAGATCGTCCACAACCGGCACGTCGTCGAGCATTTTCGATCCAAGGGCGTGGTGTTCCTCGATTCGCTCGAAGACGCTCCCGTCGGCTCGACGCTGCTCTTCAGCGCGCACGGCGTCTCGCCCGAGGTCCGTGCGAAGGCCAAGGCCCGTGAGCTGACGGCAATCGACGCCACTTGCCCGCTGGTGACGAAGGTCCACCTCGAAGCGATCAAGTACGCCAAAGAGGGCCGCACGATCGTGCTGATCGGCCACCAGGGGCACGACGAGGTCATCGGCACCATGGGCGAGGCGCCCGAGGCGATCTTGCTCGTCGAGTCGCCCGAGGATGTGGACGCTCTGGAGGTCGCCAACCCCGACCACATGGCCTACCTCACGCAGACGACGCTCAGCGTCGATGACACGAGCCGCATCATCGCCCGGCTCCGTGAACGGTTCCCGCAGATCGCCGGCCCCGCCAAGAGCGACATCTGCTACGCGACGCAGAACCGCCAAGAAGCCGTCGCCAAGCTCTCCACCGAAGCCGACGTAACGCTCGTCCTCGGCAGCCAGAACAGCAGCAACAGCCAGCGGCTAGCCGAACTCTCCAAAGAACGCGGCGTAGCGGCCTACCTCGTCGATGGCCCCCAAGACGTGCAGCCCGAGTGGCTCGAAGGCGCCGAAACGGTCCTCGTCACCGCCGGCGCCAGCGCTCCAGAGACCGTGGTCGACGCGATGCTCGACTACCTCAAAGAAACCTTCGGCGCGACGGTCGAGCCGCGGCTCGTGCGTGAAGAGAGCGTGTCATTCCCGCTGCCGAAAGAACTGCGGCAACTGGCTTCGTCTTAGGTCTCGCGCGGAGACGCAGAGGTTTTGGGTTCTAAGTCTCCTTCAAAGGCGCAAAGACGCTAAGTACTGCACTCAGAAGTCATCGCATGACCGCAGATCGCAGAAGTGCTGTTCGACGAATGTCTCGCAATGACGCAGAGCAAGAAGCTTTGCGATTGGCGTTGCCCGTAATTCAAGCTGCCGAAAACGATAAATGGG